TGCGGAATGCTAGCCGCCGGAGTGCAGGGAGGCATCCGTCTCCAAAGCCCCAGGAGGAGCCACAGCCAGGAAAGACCTCTGACGGGACGGTAGTGTAGTGGACACTTCACTGAGGAAGCCGTACGGTCCATGTCTAAGGCGGGGCGGATGCCTTATATAGAAACTCTAATATGCGTCGATGTGTCTTGTGTTTGCACTATTTCCCCATCTGTCTCCATGAAGAAAACGCCCAGCTATAACAGACTTATCAAATTGCAGAATCTCAGCAACAATGGAGCGACCGAGTCCCAGTGAACATCGTATTGATGAGGTGATGTTGCATATGTAGTCAAGATCTACGACCATGGTGTATCTTTTGTCCGAGCTAAGAAAATTATCCCTACTTATTTGCAGGCCACCTATACTGCACTTGTTCCTCAACATTCACGGTCATTGGATGACCTTCCTACGAAAGTAGCCTGTACACTATCACAGGGATCTAATGTAACTAGCATGGACTTTCATCCTTCTCGTCATACACTACTACTAATACTAGGTACAGTCAAGATTGCTAATTTACTCCATCTAAAAAAAATAGATGCAGTCACAACTTTGCAAGTACAAAAGGTGTTTCACGTGATTTGGGTGAAGCTTCGGATTTCAACACCTTATTGATTTTCTTGTCATGATTACTTCTCAAACAGTTGGATCTGCTAATGATGAATTTACACTTTGGGAGATCGGTAGGCATGAGAGGCTGGTCTCAAAGCCCTTCAAAATATGGGACCTGCAAGCATGTTCAACACAATTTCAGGTAACTGGGCACAAGTTGAACCTCTGTATGTAATTTGCTCCTCTTTGCTTTTACTTGTAGTCTCGCAACTTGTTTGCAAGCACCTAATGTTCTATGTGCCTGAGTGACTCACTATCTACCTCTTATGAGAAAAGAGTGTCGTGGCTAAAGACTCTTCCATTGCTGTTAATCGAGTTGCATGGAGCCCTGATGGACACTTGATTGGTTAGTGTCAATATTTCAATCTTCAGCCAGTAACTTTCTGCTCCACTCAGTATGTTATTTGTATTGTGCTTCATTGTTGCTTAAGCTCCCCTTTTTTTGCATTTAGGAGTTGCATTCACAAAACATTTGATCCATCTGAATGCATACCAGCATCCAAACGAAACACGTCAAGTTGTGGAGGTTTGGTCTTCTAATTCCACATCGAACTTCAATTATATAGATGTTACATTTCACTATATTAGATGACTTTTGTTACGGACCCATTTATTCTTCATGTCAGATTGAGGCTCATTCTGGAGGGGTTAATGACATAGCTTTCTCCCTGCCAAATAAGCAACTTTGTGCTGTCACTTGTGGAGATGACAAGCTGATAAGGGTATCTGGCATGTCTTAAATGGTTATCGTCTATTTCCTTTTTCCCTAGCCTGGTCTTCTATGCCCCCCTTCCCGTTTTGTAGGTCTGGGATATGCATGGACAGAAGATATATTCGTTTGAAGGGCATGAGGCACCTGTGTATTCTGTTTGCCCTCATGACATAGGTCCTGTTCAGGTCTGTGTTGTTTGAATACAATATTTAGGCATTAACATGTCAGAGTGCAATGAATATCTATGGTTGCTCCTAAGTCTGTAGGCTGCAAAAGTCTACTCAACTATAGTGTGAATTGAGGCAGTATGGGCCATCATGAGGTTTATGAGTACATAGCTTTTTCAAGCACATCAGCCTTTACCTGGTGTACTGATACCTGATTTTATTGTGTCCTCTGTAGTTCATTTTCTCAACTTCCGTTGACGGGAAAATCAAAGCATGGCTTTATGACGATTTGGGATCTAGGGTGGACTATGATGCTCCAGGAAACTGGTGTACTGCAATGCTCTACAGTGCCGATGGAACTAGGTAAACATAGATGTGGCATTTTTCTCACTAGAAGTATTGTCGATGTAATATTTTACTTGTTGTCAATTTGAAGGTTGTTCTCATGCGGAACAAGCAAACAGGGAGAAACGCATTTGGTTAAGTGGAACCAAAGCGAAGGATCTATCGAGAGGTCATATTCTGGATTCCGTAAAAATCCATCTGGTGTAGTGCAGGGTGTCGTGCAGTTTGATACAGCTCAGAATCAAATTTTAGCTGCTGGCGAAGATAACCAAATTAAGTTTTGGGATGTTGATAACATCAACATGCTTACCTGCATTGAAGCTGACGGAGGCTTGCCAGTTAGTCTCTGTACCCTATTGTCTTTGCTAACATTTTTTCTTCATTTAGTGATCTAACCTCTGTACGTTCTAACAGAGCCTTCCGCGGTTAAGGTTCAATAAAGAAGGCAATCTTCTTGCTGTTACTACAATAGACAGTGGCTTTAAGGTACTTGCAAACGCTGATGGACTCAGATCTTTACTGGCTTTTCGAAGTATTTCGTGTAGCTACAATGCCAGAAACTCCAGACCAAGCCAACAAGGTTCGCTCCATCTTTCCGGAGGAGTCAGCCAACAATGATTCTTGTGTGATGGCTGCATGTAGTGGAAACGTATCCAAGGTGCTCAACGACGATGACCTCCTCAGGGAGATCATTGTCCGCATTAGCTTCTCCAACACCCTCGTCCGTGCCGCCCTCGTCTGCAAGCGATGGTACCAGCACGTCTCTGAACCCCCGTGTGGCGAGCTACAGTTTGGACTCCTACCACGGTGCGCCGGCCAACTTGCTCTGCACCCAGAGCGGCAGAGTCCTCATCAGCTTGTATAACCAGAACTAGGTCAACGGTAACAAATTTACAGTTGGGGTGCACAGTCCGTTATGTATCTCATCCATGCCAAGAAGCTTCAGCTTCACATCTGGCTCCACAAGGGGGACAACTGGTTGCTGGTGAACACCATTTGTTTGCGTGACATGCTTGCTAATTTGAGGATTCCAGGTTGTGAGGTTGATGATGAGCCCACTGCTCCTCTCCGGATAAAACATGTGGGGGACTCTGCTGAGTTTGTGTTCTTGGAGATGGGTCGATGTGCACTCCACCTGGATGTCAAGTGCACGCAGTTGCGTAAAGTGTATGACATGACAGAAGAACTGCATTTGGGTGATATACATCCTCTTATGATGATTTGGCCGCCCATATTCCCCGCGCTCAAGGATAATCCTGCAAGGTTTTGCCTTTTGGCCTTCAGATGATTTTTGTATTTTGCTTTTGTTGAGGTTACATAGTTTTTGCAATGCACACCACTCACTGCACTGCTTGGTATAGCTACGGGGTGGTGTTAGTATATGATCGATTTTTTGGGCCATTTTAACAGTATACTAGTTCAGCAACTTTAGATAATGCTTGCCCTAAGATGTCTTGCAATCACTTGCGTAAGTCAATTTTGTGGAGTAGTATTACATTGTGTTTACTACCTATAAATGGATAAAATATGTATAAGAACCGAAAATGCCTAGCCTTGTCATCATGATGACCACTTCATTGTCCTGAAATATTATCACAAACCTTTGAGTTGTGAACCTCGAGCTTATGAGATGTTTTTGTTGTACTTATGTATGCGATTTTCTTTTGTGACTAGTGCAAGCTAATAGTGGGTCATTTGTGTCAGGCATGCATTTTTTTTTATGATCGGATTTTTGTTTTACTTGAATGCAATTATGAAATCGAAACATTCTGCAATACGAGGGCATGATTCTTTTGATTTACACACATAACATTTGAGTGACCAATGATATTAAAATATTATGATGCTGAATTACCTCCACTCTATCCTGATTCTTCCCATGTTTCCTTGAGCCAGGAATGCCATGTGAAGGGGGAATGGGGATGGTATTAAGAAGCTTTTGGATGGTCAGCGACATGGGCGTCATCAAGAATGATTGGTTAGAATGCTAGCTGGCTTTGTCATATCTCGTCATGGATTATTTAGAATGCTATGTAATTAGATGAATGTTTTTCTTTCGATTTCCATATGTATATAATGTCTGGAAGAAAAAGGAACCAGAAGCATCCTCTAAACACTAGAGGCCATACTCTGCACGTAATACTATCAAGGCAGTGTATCAGGCAGCTGCTACATTATTCATTACTCCCTCCGTGTCAAAATATAAGACGTTTTTGTAGGCTAGTTTAGTCTAAAAAACGTTTTCTATTTTGTTACAGAGGGAGTAGATCAAAGCCTTTTGTTCCTCTCGATGGAATTAGATGAACTGTGCAGGTACCAACTTTCAACCTCTGTTGCATAAGGGCAACGAAGAATGAGATTTTTCTTGAAAGAAATGAAGAATGAGATGAGCTGCAGACTCTGCTGTAATTGTGAGGCGCATCCTCTTGTTAAGCAAGTGATCTGCACTTCAGATTTGTCAACCATAGGAAAATTTGCCTGGCATTGCCTTGGATTCTAACCATAGAATGAGATGAACGCGACGCGACGACGATGGGCACGGACTTGTACGAGACCGAGGACGAGATCTCGAGGCTGCATTGCAGCAACTGCATCATCGGCGTGAAGGTGAGGCTCTTTTTTTATTTTTTTGAGAATTCATTCTGAAAGATTTGAAGCGCAAAGAGAGAAGCGACTCTTTGGACGCTCTCTCCTCCAAATGGCGGTGTTTGCCACCGGAGGTAGAAACAATGGGCAAAGAGAGAGGCGACTCCTCTCCTCCTGATGGCCTCATGGCCGTCGGCAAGTAGGGAGGTCACTCCTTGGCCTCGGTCGACCTTGCCATCTACTACCAACACCGCCAACCCAACTTTCATCTCAAACTCAACCAGAGACAAGAACTAGGTAATCTTTCAACTTCTTAATCTTCAACTCCACCACAATCAAGGTGCCTATTAGATGCCTTGCTACTAGACTAGACTGCTACCCAGGTCTGGACTGGAACATCACAATTCATTTCCAGAACAACAGAGCTCTCTCTTTCATCCGAGACCGCTTCAGAGTCTTCTATCATCATCTAGAATGGTGGTACCTAGACCGAGCTGCCTATTTACAGCAATATCCAATGGAAAGAACCAACAATATGGCTATGCAACTAGCAAAATGAATCCGGCTTCTGTCCATCCATCCATCACTCCCATCCTACCGCTCCTCCGAGGTGAACTTGTTCCAAGCATCCTGCGACAAAATATGACGGTCGTACTAGTTAAGAAGTGACGTTCGAATGCTTTGCACGAATCTGATGGAATTTCAGAAAAGATGGTATGGAGGAGCAGAAAGTCAGACTGGAGCACCAAATAGCTGTTCCAAGTAGCGTAGCACAGACCTTTAGAAGATCGAAGACCTTTTCACAGATGTACTTCTGCCTGATCGTCGCGCCCCTTTGCTGCACCTTATCTGGATGGACACACAGAGTCGCCTTCCTGTAGGCTTTCTTCACGGCGGCGGCTGTGATGAGATCTGTGAGCGGTACTGGCTGCCAGCCACTGTCAGCTCCAAGGATCTGCCAGATGGAAGAGAAATAAGACGATGATATTTCTGTTCTGCATTCCGTTACTTATCTGCATAAGGGTTCTACAGATGTGTGATGCTCAAAACAAATGGCGGCTTACGTATTGCAGAGTGGACAACAAGGCTCTCAGGTTTCCTTCCTTTCCATTCGACCACCTCTTGACCTCAGGGTCCAGGAAATCGGCCAACCTCTGAAACATCAAGAACAAATGCCAGGCCATGAATAAAAATGTGGATGTGGTGAGAGAATTGTTCTTCTGACAATGCGTAAATGTCTTACATTTTTCTCTGCCTGTTCTCTTTGAGCCATCAGGTCACGCATGTTCTTCTCCGCGAGTGCTTTTGACTGCAAATTGGCAATGCGTGTCAGCACAAAAACTACTCCAAAAAGGATACAGAAGTAGAACTAGAGAAAGAAGAAAGCATATATACCACACGCTCAGTTGTGCGTTGATGCCTCTCTATTCTTGCCTTATGCCTTAAAGCCGACTCGGAATCAACCACTACAGCCAACAAATACCATAGATCAACAAATTAGAAGAGGAAGTAGAATTGTTCTTGACTCACCAATTCATATATGGAAAACATTTTATTCGTTTGAGGAACATAGATTGCATTTTGCTTAGTGGAAAAAACAATTTTGCATGCGCTACAACAAAATATGTGGAAATAACAAGTACCTTTGCTACTAGAATCTGTATTTCTTACGTAACCACTGGAAGTTGCCCTCTGAAACTGATTGTCCTGTCGAACATCCTGCTCATCCAGAACCAGGGTTTGAATCTAGTCAGTATTTTGAATAAAACAAACAATAGTAATAATGACATGGTAATATTTGAAGCTCCTTCACTATATCAGATGAAATACCATACCAACAAACACCACTTACCTTGGAAGAGGACCTGATTTGTTCTCTGCGTTCTCTTGCCTCCGCAGCAGCCTTCTCGGCCTTGGCCTTCTTAATCGCCCTCTCCCGAGCTTCTGCAGTTGCTCGCTCGACTGCAGCCCTTTCTGCTTTTATCCGAGCTTCGGCATTTGCCCTCTCTTCTTTTAGCTTGGCTTCTGCAGAAGCCCTTTGCCGTGCTGCCGCAATCCTTTCCAACGCCATTTTTTCTGCCTTTTCACGAGCTTCATTAAAAGACCTCTCATGAGCTTCTCTTATAGCTCTTTCAACAGCCTGGGCTTCTCTTGTAGCTCTTTCAACAGCAAGCTTATCCTTTTCCCTTTCCTTTTCCCTCTCCCTTTCCTCCTCTTCCATTTTTTTTCTTTCATTGACTTCAGCATTTTCTATTTCTTTCTCCAATGTCTTTTGCCTTTCTTTTGCTTCTTCCAGTCTTCGAGAAGCCTCTTTGTCCTTCTTCTCTCTTTCCTTTTCTGTTATACTCCCTCTCTCTTTGGTTCTCTGAACCCTAGGTGTCTCTTTTCCTGACACCTCAGCAGAAACTGGGGATGGCCTTTCTGCAGGTTTTGGTACACTGTCACTCTTCTCTAAATGAGAATGTTGATGCTTTGGTTCTGCCATTGATATCCTTTCTCTAGAGACCTTTCCTTCCATTTTATTTACCCTGCTTTTCTCCTCGAATATTGTACATCTTTCTGTGGGTAATTCTCTTTCTGCTTCTTTGCACACCTCTTTGGTCTTGTCAACAACAGGAACATTTTCATAAGATGTCCGAGAAGTAGCACTGTCAATCTTCTCCAGATGAGTATGTTGATGCTTTGGTTCTGCCTTTGATCTCCTTTCTCTAGAGTCTTTCCCTTCCATTCTATTTACACTGCCATTCTCTTCAAATGTTGTAGCCAATTCTCGTTCTGCTTCTTTGCACGCCTCCTTGGTCTTGTCAGCACCTGGAACATTTGCATTAGATGTCTGAGAAGTAGCAGATTCCACATTTTTAGGTAATTGCTGCAAGCCAGTACTCATTTCTGAACAGGAAGTTGGCTCGTCCTTTGTATTTACTGTTAATCTGGTGGGACCATCATTAGCAGATTTGATGGCAACTTCATCTCCAGAACTCGCTGCACTGCCCATTTCATCAAATGTTGTATTTACTGTTAATCTGGTGGGACCATCATTAGCAGATTTGATAGTAACTTCATCTCCAGAACTCGCTGCACTGCCCATTTCATCAACTGTTATATTACCCTGTGCATCCACAACACTTTCTCCTTTGTTGGTATCAGATGCAGATGTTGTTGGCTCCTCCTGGTTAGCATGAGCTGATTCTTCTTCAGCATCTGTCTTAACACTGTTTTCTGAGGTGGAGTTTTCTGCTTCTTTACTTTCACAATCTGACTCATGTCTATCAGTATCATGAGCTGACTCTGCTTCAACATCTGTCTTCTCACTGTTTTCTGAGTGGGGTTTTTCTGCTTCTTTCCCTTTACCATCAGACTCAAGTCTATCAGTCCCTTCTTCTGTTCTATTTTTCACTTCAACAGGCCCTAATGAACCCTGGATTTCTTGATCAAGGTCTCCTTTGATGAACTTGCTGGCTATCTCAAACACGTTCAGCATGGTTGATACTACCGGATTATTGGTTTGCTGAGTAATGTCACTCTCTTCAGGACACTCAACATCCTCATCTGGAACAGACTCTTCAGAATGTGCGTGTGGACGAAGTTCCACCTCACCTTCAGCTTTCTCTACTTCGGAGATTAGCGATTCGCGGGGTACTTCAATTATCTTCTCATTTTCATTATGTAGGTAAGATTCACCTACAAAACTAAACTTTTCCCTTCCATAAGTTTCAGCTTCAAGCTCAGATTTACTCTGTACCCTTGGAGAAGCTTGAGTTACACAAGATCCTTCAAGTTCCTCTAAAATCAACGATTTAATTTGACTTGCCTGGGAATTACCAACATTAGCAACTTCTGGAGGTTCTTGTGATGTTTTACTACTCCCTGAAATGCATTGCATCTCATCATCATATCTTACCTCTAGTCCTCCTTCGCTGTTTTTTGGCTCCTCTGATGTTCCTGTTACTGAACCTTCACTCATACTACTGTTACCTAGATCAGTAGCATAGTTAGCAGAAGAGGAAGCCGATAATGAATTAGGAACATCCTTGATGAAGTCTACTTCGGGAGTGATCTCACTCATACAAGGAAGCTCAAAACTCCCATCATCATGACTTCCTTTAGAATTTTCAACAATCAGAAGCCCCTCCAACTGAGTGTTATCAACACCTTTATGTGCCATATTGCCTGTAGAAGTTTCCAGAACTGTAGACACCCTATCCTCCCCTTTCTCCATTGGAGCTGTACTGAGTTCTTTCTGTTTTTCCTCTTTCACTCCCAAATCGCTGGCATCACTAACATCCCACAGTTTTTCGTATCTTTCCAGGTCAGAGCCTTGTGTGGTAACTTTAGTTTTAGCCTTTTGGCCCTCGCTGGGTTCAGTGACAGGCTTTGATCTCCCACAGTTATCTTCCTTCTCTCTGACTGTACCAGTCTGGCATTTCTGATAATCTCCAGTGAGCTCAAAATATTCATCACCTGATCTCCAGTTACCTAATTTCTCTATATTACTGGAGGTTTGACAGGGCATAGTGTGAGTTCGCATCATCTGCTGAGGCTTCTTCAATGGCAGTACCATTTTTCCACTGTCATCGTGATGATTTGATCTGACTGCACTAACTTGTTGGTGCCTGTCAAACACAAAATTCTCAGAGTTGTTTTCTTCAGTTGCTGGATTTTTCACTGACAGATTTTCTTCAAATGCATATACTTCTACAGGAGCCTTGATTTCTACAGATCTTGTGCTTCTATGATGACTTGGCCTCTTCCGAATTTTAAAACTGTCACCTTTTCTCTCCATCAGTTCCTTTGCAGCTCTTAGCCTAGCCTCAGCATATTCCATTGCCTCCTTCATAGCGGCTGCAGCAGAACTGGGATTGGCCTCAGTATTAGACAAGGCAGCATCAGCTCTTTTTTCGGCCCGAGCAAGCTTGGTACTTGTAGGGGTGTGAACAGAAGTTGGAGTGCCACTGTGATTTGCAAAATGGAAGTCTTCTTTTGCTGCACTTTCTTTCTTGTTGAGCACTTTAGGTTGCTGTCCCAAAGGTGGTAATGGTACTTTTGGTTGTGTTTGCACAGTTGGAGTAGATACCCTCATAAATGCATAATCTGCAAAAGGTTTTCCGTTACTGGGTGTTGCATGACTATCAGATTTCTGGTTACTTCCATTCGCAGAAACATTTTCAGAAAGAGGTGGACATTCTGGTATGTGCAGCTTTTGATCAAAAGTGAAGTCACTCTCAGGACCTCTCACATTGGCAGTCACAGAGGTTGATGGAGACTTCTTCCCTCTGTCTCCATTAGCCATTATACCATTATCCATTTTTGAAACATGGTTAGTTGCTGGGGCAGGTGAAAAATTGGAAGAACCAACCACATAATCGACTGAAGGGTGAACTGTGCAAGTAGTCATCTCAACTAGATCATCCGGTTTCGCTTGGGTAGTCTTGTAATATGACATGACGAATTCCCGACTATCCGGAAGTGAGGGAATTGGAGAAGACTCATGCTCTTTGAAGTGTTGATGAAGTGTAGATTGCTCAGCATCCAGCCTAGATTCATTGTTTATCGATGATCTGTTAAAAATGAAATCAGTGATGGTTAATTTAGCAATAAATATGACTTGTGTACTTTATTCACTCAAGTTCCAGAGTAACAAGCATCAATAAAATTATGGTACACCAATTTTTTTAGCGAAGGTACATTTAAAAATGTAGAAGGACAGGACATTTATCGCATACCACGAATGAAAGAAAGAACTCTAAAAATAACTGAAACTTGGCACAAGTAGAAAAACAAAAAAAATGGCTATACACAGAGGAACTATCTATCTACCTTTACATAATATAGTTTGGCACCACTAGGCATCCTTATGAGGAATGTCTAAGCAATTCTCAACACAAGGCCATGCGAGAACTGAGAAGCCTCTCATCCATGGACAAACTATACACGCCAGATTCTGAAGTGTCCATAGTACTGAATATATGCTTGTTTGAAAAGGTGTTGTCTAAATTTTTGTACTGTTATGTTTGTAGAAACATATATCAACATGTACGCTAAATTTTATATTAAGATGCCACCTCAGGCATATAGACAGTCCATATTAACACAATTGGTATAACCCCCAAATCTTGCAGTTTCAATATTCAGATGACATGATTCACCATAAATTTATGTTCAAATAACAAGGAACTGCAGATTATTTTCTCCTAGATAGATGCAGCTCACAAGAAGAAGAAAAATGCATAGGTTGATCACAGACGGTAGATATCACAGATACATCATACATATAGCTAGTACAGCATAGTAATGTGACTCACTAGCTTCATCGGCATCATATCCAGATTAACATTACAGCACATAGTTCACAGATTCGTGCGTAGAGCTCATCAAGATAACCAACTACTTAAACCGACTACATTAATGTTACACAGTAGTGCTTCCCTGTCCTACCCCAACTTAATCAACCCCTGGTGTTTCCTATCATGTGATCTGTTTCTGCTGGTTGAGATGTTAGAGGTGGCCCACCGCCTTTACATAGTCCTCTCCCTCCCGAATAATACATCTGTTGAACTCATCCATCTGTTGACATTGGCATGAACTAAAAAGAGGAAAATGTATGAAAAGGTACTTTCTAGGCCAATTGTCAAATGCAGAGGGAAATCAACGTGATTCCCATCTCCTATGTCATAGGGTAGTCGTTCTGCTTGTCGTGTTCCAACCAGCAGTGGACTAGCAACGAAGCTCGTAATGCTCGTTGCAACACCAACTTCTTTTGCCTAGCTTGCGGAGCAAGATCGAGGCACACTCATCAATAGCACTTCTTGCAGTGTGAAACATCAACCACGCATTCCACTTGTGGTGTACTGGGGTTTTTGGCGGTGCATGTGACACTGACCTGGCTGATTTCAGCTATATTGTTGAGCTCAAGTAGCTCGGCTCCTTCCACAGGAAGTGGTAGGAGACTTCTGCCCACAGGCTGCAAACACATCCCTTTGGCAAATAATACAAGGTGAATGCCATTATTTGGCGCTAAACGGTATGGTGGGACCCACTGTTATGACCTCAGACAACAAAAATGCGACATGTACTGGGAAACAGTCATAAAGATAAGTTCGGTGAGCAAATAAAGAAACGCCTATTACTCGTCTAATACGACAAATAAGGATACTGCCTATTACCCTACTGCTGGGGTTTTTGGCGGACACTGAGCTGGCTGATTTCAGCTATATTGCTGCGCTCAAGTAGCTCCTATAGGGAGCAAAATAACATAAGGGGAATGCCGGTTTTTGGCGCTAAACGGTAGGGTGGGACCCACTCTTATGACCTCAGCCAACAAAAACGCGACATGTACTGGGAAACAACTATCGTAAAGAGAAGTGCAGTGAGCAAATTAAGAAACGCCTATTACCGGTCTGCGACGACTAATGAAGACATGCCTATTACCGGTCTAAAACGACAAATAAAGGCCAGCCTAGCCTATTAACGGTACGCCATCTACAACCGACAATTGAAGCACATACAACCTCGCATACGGATATAATTACATGCACGTCCAACGTTCCTCATCTGCTGGCCATGCAAGCTTTCATCATCTCTGAGACTACGTTGTTGTGGAACTCAATGACTAAGCGGCAAGCTGACACCAACTACACTTGTTCCACAGCTACCCCGGCAGGCTGACACCAACCTAAAGCATACACTTGTTCCACAACTACGGCGGCAGGCTGACACCAATCTGAAGCACACACTTGTTACACAACAAAGCGGCTTGTAAACTCCCACTTGAAGCATACAATTGTTCCATGACTACACGGCCGGCTGGAACCAGTCTGAAGCATACAGTTGTTGAATGGCTACGCCTATTATCAAGCTTGCTCCCTGATAACCCTTCCAGTTCTACCGAAGTCAGCCTCAATAAGCACACAATATTTCCATTTGAGCTCACCAAACTCTTCTTCACATTCAACCATTTTATCCATGTGTGACACAACTAACACTAGTAAATTCCCGAGACCACACGAGGACCTCGATTAGGAAAGCATTACCTAACATGGCCAAGACTTCATGATATCCAACCAACACACAGACACAGGCAGGCATCTTAATTCCACCATAATGTATGCACACCAAAACGTACCATGAATACCCCTAGACAATCAAGGCAGTCTGTAACTGCCACCGTGTCTGAAACAGCTCACCATTTCAGGGCCAATGTGAAAAACCAGGTAGCAGCAAGCAAAGTCGCCACTCACCACTTTCTTTCTCAGAGAGAGATTCCATGGTAGCCTTTAGGAATCAAGGAATTCCAGAATGCTTTGGGGAATTCTTGATGCTCCATGAGTAGCATCTCCAGCCTCTAAAGCCCGGAATAATGAGCAAAGCTAACAGTACAGTGTAGCCTAAAAAATGTCCGCCTTTACGATTAGAAAGGGGCGGACGGAGGAAAGGAAAAAAGGAGTCGGGAAATCCTCACACCATGAGACTGGAAAGAGGCAGGATGTAATCGGAAATCGGAGATCGTAGCGGCCTACATCGTCCAATCCCGCGGCCGGTGCGAGGACATTTCAGGCGGCGGCGGCTCGTCGAGACGCCATTGGAGCACAGGGGAAAGGAAACAAGAAAAAGGACTGCGGACGAGAGGGGAGAGGGGGCACGAGCGGACGAGCGAGCGAACCTGTAGGAGCTCCCGCCGCTGGACGAGGCGATCTCCTCCTCGGGCAGCTGCTGCGGCGCCGGCGGCGGAGCGGGCGCGTCGCCGAAGAGGTCCTCGTAGGGCGCGGCGAAGTCCGCGAAGCCGAAGCGGCCGAAGATCTCGCGGTAGTCGCCCGCGGAGGCGCCGCCCGAGGGGACGGCGGCGACGGGCGGCAGGTCGAGGTAGGGGATGGAGCATGCGGCGGCGGCGCCCCCGAACACCTCGGCGTAGTCGAGCGGGGGGCCGACCACGGCGGCGGCCCCGAACGGCGCGGCGGCGAAGCGCGGCGGCCCGCCGAATACGTCCCCGTAGGAGGAGGCCGCCCCCGCCGGCGCCGCCTTCCGGTGGTGCCGCCGCTCCCTCCGCGGCCCGTCCATGGGCGCCGTTCGCCCGCGCTGTAGGGGGGTAGCACCACCCCACGCTCTCCCTCCCTTCTCTCTCTCTCTCTCGCCGGAGGCCGGTGGGTGGTGCGGAGGAGGGGGACGGAGCGGAGCGGAGCAACAAAGGTAGGGGTTTGGGTTTGGGGCGGGGAGAGGCGACAGGACAGAGGGGTGGGGGAGTGGGGGGGGGCGCTTTTTCTCGTTTCGTCGGGCACTAGAGCGCGGCGTTGACGGGGTCGCTGTCGCGTGGGCCCGGCGGACCCTGGTTCGGCGGGCCCGGGGAGAGGGGGAGTATTAAATGGGTGGAGCGTCGGGTGTGGTCTTGTCGCTTCCTGCCTGCCGGTGCCGGTGCCGCCTCCCGGTTTCCCACCGGCATCCGGCATGCGCCCCCGGTCCGCGGCGGCGCCGGCAGCGCTGGACGCTCCCTTGCATGGCCGTTCGATCAAGAGTTGCTCGTAACATGCACGAATCTTGATGGCCTTTCCCATTTTCCAACTGGGTGGCACTCGCTTTTTTTTTTATACATGCATATTCATCGCAAAAGTTTTTACTCTGCCAGGCAGCAAAACGTCAGGGAAAGCCACAGGATAACTTTATGCGGGACAGAAACAAAAAAAAACAAAAAAACGGATGGCATTGTAGCCGCATGGTGCCAAATGCTGGTATATCAGTATGACACCATACTCCAACCAGGGATAGCCCTTGGAAATAAAAAGACTATCTTTGTTTCATTTTGCTTTTGGTTGGAAAACACACGTAGGAGCAACAACGTGGATCCAACATATAGTCCTTTCCAGCAGAAAAAAGGAAACAATGTGTTGTTAATAGTGAATTGTTCGATGTTCTTGTTATCCATGAATCAACTTCTGCAAAACATGTTGTTGTTGACTTGGGCATGGATGAACTTCTGTAAGTGGTTGGAAGCAAGGCATGTTTGTGGTCAACCATGGTATCCAGTTGTGTTGTATGCCATCTCTCGTACTCCCTCCTTCCCAAAATACAAGACGCGGTTTGACTTTTCTAGCACAACTTTGACTATAATTTTCATGTGTTGTATGTCTATAAAATTAGTATACATACATATGAAATAAAGTTGTTTTGCAAGAAAAATACGACGATGCCATTTATGCATGTTCAATCCGTATATTTTGATATATATTAAGGGTTAAAGTCGTGCATCAAAGACCGTAAAAAGTCAATCGCGTCTTATATTTTGGGAAAGAGGGGGTATCAATCACTCTTCCGCTCAGTCTTGTGAGACACTTTTGTCTTCTTTTTTGGGGTCAAACTTTGATGATGAACCTGGTTAGCAAAATATAAGCCATACGTTCCAAATATATGAAATATAGCTCTCGTGTTCAAAATAAGTTTCTATGCTACTCCCTCCGTCCCATAATGTAAGATGTTTTTTGACTCTAGTGTAGTGTCAAAAAACGTCTTGCATTGTGGGACAGAGGGAGTATTTCGTAATGGCGTGATTTATTTTTTATAAAGATAGTGTTTTCTTATGGATGGCCATCATGGCTATGTAGCAATTGAGTTTATTCTTGTTCAATATAGAGTAATTATTTGCAACTCACATTTTCTTCCGCAACTATGTACGGTGCATGTGACTGAATTTTTTCCATATGTGCCCATCATTAGGATGCAACTGTACAAAAAAACATAAAATGTGCTATTTCAACAAATATAGAACTAAAAGTGCTTTAAAGGTAAAGAAATAGTTAAGAATACAAAGAGTAACTGAAACTTCACACAAATTTTTAGGGGTTGCACATCATCTTGATCCACTCGAATGATTTCTAGTGTGGTGAGACTTAGCAGATGATAAGTCCTTGTTTGGTCCTCGACCATTTCACTCCTCCAATCAAAACAAAACACAAACTCGACCAAGGAATTTCACTCCACGCTACAACCAAAACAAACTCAACCAACAGAGACTCCTAAGGAATCCATTATTGTGGCCTCTATTCCGTAATGACCTCAAACTTTTTTTTAAATTCTATCTCTCTTCATCGGACCTTTAAGGGCCTCTTTGATGCAAAGGATCTGTATAGTCATTTTGAACTATTTTAATCCTTAGGATTTTTTCCAATGATTCATTCTACTAGATTTTATGAAAGATTTGTTTTTTTGTGCTCAATCAAATATCAGTACAGTCCTATAGTATTGAATATGGCATGGCCATTGCTGATGTGTTTTTTCTGTTTCCGTGTTGTGGAAATCCTGTGAATCAAAAAGGCCCTAGAATTCATGTGATTAACCAACTATTTTACCAAATCTAAATAGAAATAAGCGGCGTCCTAAACCTGTAACCGAAGTGTAATATATGCAACCATCTAAGAGAAAATTATAATCTATGAAGAGATAACATAGCTCAACTTAATCATGACAGGATAGTAACACCAATTCGTGTTTTTTATAGTATAACAATGATAATAAGCCATGCGTGCTATTCATGGCAGCACGTTGCTACCTCTTACCGCCCAGCAGCGACAAACCTATGTGACCCCTACTTAAAGAAACCATCTCCCGCCACTACTTCGACTCACATTGCAATTCTGCGAGCGCTGCCTACCTAGGGTTCTTATACATTCTAGATTATTTTCTAATTACAAACATGATCATGTATATATAATCAAGTATGTCGGAGGAGGAGTCCAGATTCGGAGCTAATAATTTTTTAACACATGGTGTATATATGATACAAATTATGATTACAAGATACATGTACTCAACCATAAACGGTTATAAAAATGTGATTTGCAGAACATAATATCAGCAAGTGTGCAACCTCATCCTCGATCATGTTGTGCATGATCACACAACATGTCATCACCTCCCACAAGGTCCCTGGATCCCATTGTTTAGCAGGTCCACGAACAACTGCAAAACGGACCTGCAAAACTCCAGATGCCCTCTCGACATCCTTTTTAGATGCTTCTTGTCTTTAAGCAAAGTGAGCCTTTTTCTAGCCAACTGGATTAGAGATGGTGCTAACAAAGGTAGCCCACAGAGGATAGACACCGTCAACCAGCTAGTATCCCATGTTGTACTTATGTTCATTGACAGTATAGTGGCAAGGAGGAGCTTTTCCTTCAGTCGGTCTCGCAAACAACGGTGATCACTGCAGCACATTAATGTCATTGTGAGACCCAGGCATGCCAAAGAAAAAGTGTACCAAATCCAAAGATCATGTGCTGCAACTGCTTCAAGAATGATGGTGGGCTTCTTAACATTGTTGGGGAACGTAGCAGAATTTTAAAAATTTTCTACGCATCACCAAGATCAATCTATGGAGTCATCTAGCAACGAGGGAGAGAGGAGTGCATCTATATACCCTTGTAGATCGCGCGCGGAAGCGTTCAAGAGAACGGGGTTGATGGAGTCGTACTCGTCGTGATCCAAATCACCGATGACCAAGTGCCGAACGGACAACACCTCCGCGTTCAACACACGTACGGTTGGAAGACGTCTCCTCCTTTTTGATCCAGCAAGGGGGAAGGAGAGGTTGATGAAGATCCAGCAGCACGACAGCGTGGTGGTGGATGCAGCAGGATTCCGGCAGGGCTTCGCCAAGCGCAAGCGGGGAGGAGAGGTGTTACAGAGGGAGAGGGAGGCGCCAAGAGCAAAGGGTTGCGGCTGCCCTCCCTCCCCCCTCTTTATATAGGGGCCTTGGGGTGGAGCCGGCCCTAGGGAGATAGATCGCCAAGGGGCGGCGGCCAAGGGGTGGCTTCCCCCCCAAGCCAAGTGGGGGGCGCCCCCACCCCTAGGGTTTCCCAACCCTAGGCGCAGGGGAGGCCCAAGGGTGGGCGCACCAGCCCACTAGGGGATGGTTCCCCTCCCAATTCAGCCCATGGGGCCCTCCGGGATAGGTGGCCCCACCCGGTGGGCCATCGGGACCCTTCCGGTGGTCCCGGTATAATACCGGCGACCCCCGAAACATTCTCGATGGCCAAAATTGGACTTCCTATATATAGATCTTTACCTTCGGACCATTCCGGAACTCCTCGTGACGTCCGGGATCTCATCCGGGACTCCGAACAACTTTCGGGTTACTGCATACTAATATCTCTACAGCCCTAGCGTCACCGAACCTTAAGTGTGTAGACCCTACGGGTTCAGGAGACATGCAGACATGACCGAGACGACTCTCCGGTCAATAACCAACAGCGGGATCTGGATACCCATATTGGCTCCCACATGCTCCACGATGATCTCATCGGATGAACCACGATGTCGAGGATTCAATCAATCCGTATACAGTTCCCTTTGTCAATCGGTACGTTACTTGCCCGAGACTCGATCGTCGGTATCCCAATACCTCGTTCAATCTCGTTACCGGCAAGTCACTTTACTCGTGCCGTAATGCATGATCCCGTGATCAACCACTTGGTCGCATTGAGCTCATTATGATGATGCATTACCGAGTGGGCCCAGAGATACCTCTCCGTCATACGGAATGACAAATCCCAATCTCGATTCGTGTCAACCCAACAGACACTTTCGGAGATACCTGTAGTGTACCTTTATAGTCACCCAGTTACGTTGTGACGTTTGGCACACCCAAGGCACTTCTACGGTATCCGGGAGTTGCACAATCTCATGGTCTAAGGAAATGATACTTGACATTCGGAAAAGCTACAGCAAATGAACTACACGATCTTTGAGCTATGCTTAGGATAGGGTCTTGTCCATCACATCATTCTCCTAATGATGTGATCCCGTTATCAATGACATCCAATGTCCATAGTCAGGAAACCATGACTATCTTTTGATCAACGAGCTAGTCAACTAGAGGCTCACTAGGGACGTGTTGTGGTCTATGTATTCACACATGTATTACGATTTCCGGATAACACAATTATAGCATGAACAATAGACAATTATCATGAACAAAGAAATATAATAATAACCATTTTATTATTGCCTCTAGGGCATATTTCCAACAGTCTCCCACTTGCACTAGAGTCAAATAGTCTAGTTACATTGTGATG